TATGATGACATGTCAAACTTAAAAAAAATCTTTTAATTGTTCTGATATGTTATAATTAATTTTATTAATTAGAAAATCATAATTGTTGATGTTTGAAAAATAAAATTATTAAATGAGTTCACAACAAGTTATTAATTTGAGTGAGTTTTGGTAGGTTGAAAAATTGTCCAGGCTCAACTTGAGTTGTGTTAAGCCCGTCCAAGCTTGAATTGCAGCACGCAATTGTTTGTTCAAACTTGACCCAAGTTAAGCTCGAGTTGTTTGAGTTACCCGAATGAGTTTTTTTTTCTTCTTCTTTAACTAGGTTGATTAATTTGTTAAAAACATACTCTTCTAGTAATTTTTTGTTGTTGATAAAATCATTAATAACATTAAAATAAATAATGTATATGATGTAAAAAATATGACAATTGAAGAATCGATACGCCACTATGGTCACTGTAAATTTAGAGTGAAATGAAAAAAAAAATTTGTGTTGTGTTACTTGTGTACATAATACAGATATAGTGAATATGATATAATGATCAAAATTATTTTAATATATCATCCAATGACTAAAAATTTATATGTATATTTAATATTTTTATATGTATACCATCTGAGTTTTAGATTATTTGATATCTTTGTCTAAGTCGGCCTCAATTTAATTTGTACTTTTAAATTTTTGTCAAAACTTGCGCTAATTCTTAAAATATATTGTCAAGTCTTAAAACTTTTGTGAATTATCCAAAAGTTATTCGGATTAAGTCCGTTGTATTATTAGAAAATGCACAAGATTTTAGTTTTTTGTAGGGTAAACTACACTTACACTTACTAAAGTTTGGATTTAATACATATCACTCCTTAACGTTTTGAAAATTATATTAACTCTCTATCATTATAATTATTTAGACAGACTGAAAATATTGAACTCATGTACTCTTTTTTTTTTCTTTTTTTTTTTTTTTTTTTGCTTTGCTTTGCTTCACTTCCTTTGTTTTTGTTTTTTTTTTTCTCTCTTTTCTTTTGCTTTACTTTTTGATTTTTAATGTAATTTTTTATATTTTTCTGCTATAAGTTGTTATCTTTTATATAAGCAGGGGTTTGTGAAATGAAACTATTAATTACACGGGTGATAATATAATTTTTAAGACATCAAAGGGTGAAATGTAATTTGACCAAACTTAAGGGGTGTCAATGTAATTTATCCTTTTTTTTTAATATATATTAATATTTTGTTGAGAGATTAGGGGCATGCATGACGTACGAGATACTCGTCACGTGCTTTAGATCTTATTTGGAATCAACTACTTCTAGTCTGGTGTGCTTGACAATTACGCCACGTTTGGCAACATAAGATTTTAGCTCAAAAATTTTAAAAATCAATTTATTTTTCTTTATTTTTTATTTTTCATATTTTTCATAAAAATTAAAAATTATTAAAAAAAAGTTAATTCTAAAACCACCCCTTAGATTGTTTAATGCAATTTAAAAAGAGTTGTTTATAATTTGTTTTAATTTAAAGTTATGTGTTAGATTATAATTTTTATTTATAATATATTAAGGTCTTATTTGGTAATTACATATTTTAGTTAAAAAGTCACTATAAGTTATCATATTTTTTTCACATCTCTTAATAAAAATTTAAAAAATTACTAAAATAACTTATTTTCAAACAAGACATTAGTAAATATAAATTAAATAAGATGATTATTTAAAAGCAGAGAGATGGAGTTTTTTTTTGAAATATTCTAAAAAAAAAAACAAATTAGAGAATTGACCCACTTTTTAAATTATTTGGGAAATTAACCTATTTTTGAAATCGCATTTTGAAATTGTATGTTGAAATTGCATGTTGAAAATGCAATTTCAATTGAAATTGTATGTTGAACATGCAATTTTATCATGTCATCATAAATTACATTTTCAACTTGCGATTTTAAAGTGAAATTGCATGTTGAAGATGCAATTTCAATTTCAAAATCGCATTTTGAAAATGCAATTTCAAAAAGTAGGTTAGTTTCTTAAATAGTTGGGTGAATTACACTAATAGTCCCTATAGCTTGGGACATGTTTCACTTTGGTCCCTGACTTTTCAGTTGTGACACATTTGACCCTGAATTTTGAATCTTGTTCCAAATAAGGATAATTGAAGATATCATTAGATTTTTTAAGGGTAAAATCGTCAATTTGATAAAATATAAACTAATTTGAAAAAAATAAATATCAAACAAATATTTTTTAATTTTTAAAAATTATTTCTACCCACTAAAAATAAAATTATATAAAATTGATAAATATTTTAGACATTTATTTATTTTTTTACCAAATTAATTTTTATTATGTGTTTGGATGATGATCTAAAAATTTAATCATGTAATTTTTATTAATTTTTATCAATTTTACATAATTTTATCATTGGTGGATAAAAATAATTTTTAAAAAATTAAAAATATTTTTTTGACATTTATTTTTGTCAAATTAGCTTATATTTTATTAAATTGACGATTTTGCCCTTAAAATTAAACAATGGTATCTGTAATTGTCCTTATTTGGAACAAGATTTAAAATTTAGAGTCAAATGTGTTACAATTAAAAAATCAGGGACCAAAATGACACGAGTCCAAACTATAGGAACTATTTGTGTAATTTGCCCTAAATAGTTTGAAAAGTAGGTCAATTCTCTAATTAATTTTTTTCTTTTTTGGAATATTTAAAGTTTGGATTTTAGTTTTTTGTAGGGTAAATTACACTTACACTTATTAAAGTTTGGATTTAATATATATCACTCCTTAACTTTTTGAAAATTATATTAACTCTCTATCATTATAATTATTTAGACGGACTGAAAATATTGAACTCATGTACTCTTTTTTTTTTTTTTTTTAAAGTTTGGATTTAATACATATCACTTTCCTTTGTTTTTGTTTTTTTTTTCTCTTTTCTTTTGCTTTACTTTTTGATTTTTAATGTAATTTTTTATATTTTTCTGCTATAAGTTGTTATCTTTTATATAAGCAGGGATTTGTGAAATGAAACTATTAATTACACGGGTGATAATATAATTTTTAAAACATCAAAGGGTGAAATGTAATTTGACCAACCTTAAGGGGTGTCAATGTAATTTATCTTTTTTTAATTTAATATTTTGTTGAGAGATTAGGGGCACGCATGACGTTCGAGATACTCGTTACGTGCTTTAGATCTTGTTTGGAATCAACTACTTCTAGTCTGGTGTACTTGACAATTACGCCACGTTTGGCAACATAAGATTTTAGCTCAAAAATTTTAAAAATTAATTTATTTTTCTTTCTTTCTTTTCTTCTTCTCCGTTGAACACAAGAGAAGAGCAGAGGCGAGAGAGAAACAGAGTCGTCGTCGTCACAGCTCGTCGGCGTCACAGCTCGTCGCTTGTCGGCTGATCGTCGCATCGCAGCCCCGCCTTCGCCCGCCGCCGCCTCCACCTCCGCCTCCGCATCCACCCGATTTTGTTGCCCCCGCCAGTCTTCTTCTTCTTCCTCCTTCTCTTCTTCTTCTTCTTCCTTCTTCTTCTTCTCCGAATTCGTCTTCTCTTCTTCTTCTTCTTCTTCTTCTCCGAATTCGAGGCAAATTCGAGCCTCCAAATTCGAGGTACAAATCGGAACCGTTTTATAATATAAACATAAACTGAATGAAATATAATAATAAAAACATTATAATATTTTTTATTATTTGAAAGGTAATATTTCAATATTTGTATAAAAGTGTTATTTTATAGTGAGATTTGGTGGGTGAATGAGGACATACAATGTATCTATAACCTAGTTCAATAAATAAATAAATATAATAATTACTTCCACCCTTGATATAAACCAAATCTTTTTGGATTTTTTTGTTGTTTTCTATTTTTGTTCATAAGCATTTGTTCAATTAATAGCCTTTTTAGTTTGGGCTTTTGGGTCTTTTACAAAGTGTCAAAACTAAAGGCTAGGAAGATATATAAAAAGAAAAAATTAAAATAAAAAATTGCAATTCAGTGTAAGTTTTCAAAACAAATTGTAAATCAGTGATAAAGTTTATCAACTTTAATAACCAAAAACAAATTGCAATATCATGAAAATTGAAAAAATTTATCACTGATTTACAATTTATTTTGAAAACTTACACTGAATTACAATTTTCCTATAATAAAAAAAAAAAAGAAGCAAAAAGCATAACCAAAAAAATCCAAACAAGTGTAATTATTATGTTGCATTTAGTTCATTAAAATGAAAATTAAATAAAATATTTTTTTCTTAACCATTGTAAAAAAAATAAAATAAATATTTAATAGGATGATAATGCCATTCGTTATTAAAAAATATATATATATATATTTATTTTTTATTAAGCAGTAAGCTAATGACAAGAATAAAAAACATTTGGGGTGAGAGAGGCTCGAACTCTCAACCTCAGGATAACTCAGAATACCTAAGACACCTACGCACTAGCCAACTGCCCCCCGATCCCAATGTTTATTTTATTTAAAACTTCATAACATAAAATAAAAAATTGTATGGATCTAAACCGTCACTATTTTACTTCACAACCTCATAATATAATTCATGTGCCGCATATCCGCAAAACCCATATTTTATTGTAAGCAATTTTATAATTTATTTGAGATTAGTTTTATAACATATCCTCATTCTAACTTAAAATCACTAGCAAAGCCTTTATGCTACCGAGTTATAACTAAATGATTTTTATCATCATGAATTATGTTTCAACAATCACTTAATTTGTGTACTGAGTGATTTATTTATTTTGTATAAAAAGCAAGTGAAAATAATACAGTTCTGAAATAATGCAGTTCTGAAAATAAAGAATTTCCTGAAGAAGATGCTGGTGTTGTTGGCTGTAGGGAGGTCATATTTAAAATTTGAAAATATTGGCTGACACCTTTGCAGATTGGTTTATTTACTACACTTCCAGTTTTCAAGAGGCCAATTTTTATTTCAATTGCTTGCCTCCGATATCAACAAACAGAGGATGTCACAATCTGATACACAAACTACACTAGTAAGCATTAAACACAACACTTTCTATATACATCATTGAAGGAAAGGGGTTCTGTACACATTCTTTAAGGGAAACAAAACAAAAAAAAAAAAGTTCTTTTTTGTACGCCAAACCAATGTTTTGTGAATGGGTTAACAGCCTTTGCGGTATACCTGTCAAACATTTAAGTATTCTCATTATAGGGAAAGGAGAAAATTTTATTTGGTGCTCGTGAGCATTGCCCCAATGTTTCCAAAAGCCACCTGATCATGCAGACTCCCTGCATTTAGGGGAGGACCCCATGTCATTGTGCGGCTCTTAGAGGCGTTGGGGCCATGTCCCAGGACTACCAAATAACTTCTCGGAAAGTATGCATGTACTAGTTAAGGAGATTCCTCGACAGGTACATTTGAGTAAGTACAAGTGTAACTCTTCACCTTCACTTCATTCCCTCTAACTTTGGTCCAGGAAATTTCCGAGTCTCGAGCAAACTTTGCCTGCATCAAGAAGAAACAATAAATGCACATGAGAGAGAGAGAGAGAGGGTGGTGCAAATGCATCGCACCAGTGAGGTTCAATCCCAACTTGGATTTGGATTCCACCTCATGCTGTGCATTCATAACCAAAGTCTATGCATCAAATTGAATATATAAAGAAAGGATCCAATTCCCTTCCTGATTTTCATACAAGAGAGTTTTTGCAGGGATGAATGCCCTAAGAGGGTGTAGGGGTACTACTTCTCAAAGAGGACGAAGCCATAATAAAAATCTCCCACTATCAGAATTTCCCAATATTGGGATCTTTCTTTAAAAGAGAGTGTCAGTCTTATGCCCTCACTCTCAATCTTAAGATCAATGAAAGGCGATCTTTACAGAGGATCCACAGAAACTTGATATGTTTTAAGAACATATAATTGAATCAAAAATAGTTTTCGAACAAGATGATCTTTAAGTAGTTTAATGTCCCTAATTATTGTGCCTAAAAATATTAGAGACTAAACATAATTATCCTATTAAAAATCCCTTCAAAACCAAGTGCAATAGAAGGAAGTCAAACAAAGCTGAAGAATAAAAAAAAGAATACCTCTCTGTTTCAATAGTCCTCTTTGCAAGCATAAGCATAAAGAAGACTGGAACCATTGCAGCACACAAATGCTTAAGAGTGTGCCAACTGACAATATGATGTGTGCATTTATAAATTGGTTTATCTGCAGCTTCTTCAACCTTAGCTAAAAGATAAAATCCTGCATGTTATGCAATTAAATGTTACTCAGAATGGCACAAATAACTAACAGATTTAGTAAACAACAGAAGAGCCCACATGATGAAATATACAAACCTGCAGCCCAAAGCCAGAATGTGGAATGTGTGTATATTGGAGGCAGCAAGATAGCCATTATCGGAATTACAATGCAAGGAACAAACTGAACCAGTGCATATGGGTGGAGGTCATCAAAAAGCCTGCAGGTTACAATGCACAAGTCCATATACAATAAATGTTTACTTGGAATTGCAGGGTCATGCTCATGCAAATATCTAGGCAAAATTAACTTTAGATGTGAATCATTTGAACCTTGGGAGAAGTTCAAACACCAGAACATTTGTATTTATTGAAGACTCAAAAGGCATTACAACAAAATGTTATATAATCCAAAGGCACTGTCGCATTCTGGTATTTTGTCCCATACACAAGTATGAACTTCATCACCTAAAATAGAAAAACAAAATCCTTTATAATTGAGGAAAGGTACACATGCTTACCTCCAATACAACATGCTTATAACACCTGCCAAGAGTAGGGGAAGAATGGACACCGTTCCCTTTTGCTCATCTATTCTTTCAATTATAAAGATTGCCACGATTGATGTGAATGCAATAGTCATCTATATAATTATTGATCAAATGTCAAAACAGAAAAATATTGAGGACATCTTAAAAGAGGCTTAGGCAAGACAAAGCTCACCGGCAAGCAATCCCACACAAGAGTAGCGTCATTTGGCTTGAGATGATAATATGAGGGTCCAATACGAACAGCAGCCACACCAATGAAAAAACACGTCCAACCCCAAACCTCACCTTGCAACCTAAACATATATTTAGATGTTATTGTAATCGGTAAGTATAATTTATAAAGGATCTTCTCACTCCTCCAGTATAATAAGGATCATGTAGAACATAATACCTCAGTCTAAAATAGTTCCCATGAAAGCAAAGTATAACCCCTACAATACCAATTACAAGGAATGGGAAATTTGAAACCACATTCAGTGTATTTGGAATACCTGACCAGTTAAACAAACATGTCAGCTATAACAAAACACATTAGAGGGAGGAGCATCAAATATTGTTCAAAAGCTGAAAGACAAGTACAGTTTGCCAACATTACAATTTCTGGATAACCTATAGATTGAAATTTTGAAATCGTAATGTCAGTCAACTGCAAGCATGAGTCCAAATAAAAATACAACTGAATGATTAAAAAAAACAACTAACAAAAATGGACAATAGTCAAATCATTTTGATTTTTAAAAATATCAAATCAGGAAAAATGGATATAATTTGAATGTCAAATATCAATATTTTCAGCCACTTGTTCCAAAACACTGAGCCCCGGATCAGGATACACCAACGTTAGTGATGCATCAAAACCTTAACAACCTACACAGATTACAATCACAAAATCAGCGGATGTATTACAGACGTCATTAGTGGTAAAAATGCATTTAGCTATTATATTAAAAAAGAGCTTTTAAGGATTACAGAAACATAACTAAACCTTGGAATGTATTGAAGTTTGTAAAGTTTTCAGGTTTGGTATTAATCTCGAATTTATTTCTGTTGCAGCAGCAATGTGCATCACCTGTAAATAAAACACAAGCGATTACAAACCAGCTGGAGATCAAACATTCCACAAAGACGATCAATAAGCAGTTCAGCAAGTTTGTTTCATAAGACTTACTGTAGGGAATGTGTTATTAGAAGATTGTGATCTGTTCACATGGTCATTTGGATGCACAAAATTTTCACCTTGCTTGTGGCCAAGAATTTCAGCAGCTCTATTTGCAATTACCTAGAACAATCAGCGACTACGTTATAAATTCAAATAGAAAAATTCATATCAACAATAATCAACGTTGCCAAGAGTTACCAAAAATCTAAGATTTGGTTACCTTGTGAAAGACTTAGAGGTATAGTCGAGAGCATACACATTTACAAAAGGGATATGCATATAAAGATAGTTCCAGTGCATGGACAAGCAAATACTAAATAAAACAATGAAAATAACATATACTGACAAAAACTACAAATATTACAAAATATGATACCAATGTAGAGAGCCATCTTGATGATCTGGATTATCTTTAGTGTCAGTTCAACCAGCACAATTCCTCACTAACCGCCCAAATCATTGCTCACGCACAAGAGGAAGTTAACCAAAGCACCAACTCCTCTCTCTCTCTCACTTATGCGTGCACACAAAAACACACATACTAGTCCAAAGTAGGCAAGAATTAACACTGGCATTACAAAGCCCTGTAGCAACCCTGTCCAGCCAGTGCATGTACGTATAGAGTGCCCATGCAGGCAGCTCAAGTCTACATGAGGCCTACGGCAAAAAATCTGAGCAAGGCCCTCTATAAATTTTTCCATTGTAATTCTTTATTTAAAATTCTTTTTTTTCACTTTTTTAGATGCAAAATTACTAATTAAATTTTTATATTCAAATTTTGTTAACATAATTCATAGGGAGAAGTACAATTTATATTTTATAATTGACCGTTGCTAATGCAATATAGAATCAACCATAAAACCAACCACATAGTCATGTGTTGCAAAAGCTTTTGTGGTTGGTTATGTGGCTGAGTTTTCACTAACATTTATCTTGTCAATCTGGATTTGCTATTTTGACCCATAGAGAGATATAATGATGAGAGTTTTTGTTTTCACCGAGAGAAATGTATAGTGATGAAGGCCTTTCATTTGTATAATGACAAAGAGTTTGTTTTTTTCTTCATGTTTAACCTTTAACTATACGAGTATTTACTTTTTCTTTTGCCATTTTCTTTGTTATGATGCAGAGAAAGGGCAAAGTATAATGATAACTATTGAGAGATATAATAATGATAGGGTAGTTTGTTTTGATATGTATGAAATACGATTTAAAGAGAGATCATTTTTGCCTATTTTTGCTTTTTCCAATTTCCTTTATAACATTGTTTTTATTTTTATTTGATATATACATTGTATATAAAAAAAATGAGGCCCCCTTTTATGCAGGGCATTGGATAAACAAGTTGTCGATTCAGTTAATTTACTCGTATGTTTATCTGTAGTTAGCAATTTGTGCATTGTCGTCTTGTGTTTGAATTCCCTTTTCGTGACTCTGGCACCTATATAGATGTGGAAGATTCTAAATTATATTTTTGGTGGGTTGAAGGTTCTAAATTATATGTGGGTGATTTGTTTGTATTCTATCATTATATTTAGAAGAAATATATGGTGTTATGAGAAAAACTAATATAAATAGATGGAAACATGAAGGATATGTAACAACTCTAGGAAATAAAAGAGGGCCTTGTTAGGTAATAGAAGTTTTTTCAGACTAAAACCATTGTTTTACTAGTTTTATAAGGAAGTTTCTTTAAACTGGCTACAATGTTTACAAGTTTGTCAGGCTGTATTATTGCTCATTTGCATTCATTCGATTGATAAAGCTTTTTACTCAGGGTGTTGTGGACCGAAAATCATGGCTGCCTATGGAATTTTAGGGCATTTTTATTGGATTTTCATGGAGAACCATTCTGATGTTCCTTGTCTTCGCATCTTCCATTACTATGTGGTTTATCTAGATCTTCACAAAGACACATTGTGGTGTGGTTTTCTTTTGTTGGTTTACAAGTACATGTAGAAAAGATGTGAAAAAGTTTAATATTGCACTCTAGTACACAACTTATGGGCTTATTACTAATGTGATTAAAGCTGCTTTGGTTTGCAAATTCAATGTCATGTTTAAATGTTTGTTTTTGCATCTTTCATTTGATCTTCACATTTGTCTCTGTTTGTTGAATATCACTAGCTTTCTTCATTGTACTGTTTTTAGTTTCCTTCTTATGATTCAATGGTGCTGAGGTCAAGCCCAGCCAAAAGCCCCCATCCTGAGGTTTAAAGTTGCATTATCAATTGTTCCCACCATTAGAGAACTTAACAGTCAACTGCCAATTTTCGCTAATGTAAGTGGATTACTTTTTTTAAATACCAAATTTACCCTCACATCCACTCCCTCCTTTCACTGTATTTCCTTTCTCACTTAATACAAACAACAACCATCACTCGTTGGTCCCTCCACCTCCCCCCATTGCACAATTTGAAAAAAACTTACCGATACGCATATTTTTTTTCCATGATCATATTTATTGGGTTAAAAATAAATATTGATCAATTTTTATAAATTTTTAAGTATGATTCAATATATTTCATATTTTTAAATCACTATAAATTGAGTTTTTTACATTTTATTTTAATAATTAATGGTTTTATATTATACAAAAAATCAATCACTAACTAATATATATAAGATAAACAATGACAAAAGTAAGAGAATAAATAAGAGCCTAAATATATATATATATATATACATATTTTAACCAAGCCAAATAGATAATGACCACACTTATTAGTATTATTATTTTCAAACAATATATAGATTGACACACACAAACAAAATGGTTTAGTGATAGCAGCTGAATAGAATAGCATAGGTTTTACACCTTCAACAAATCAATAACATGTTCTTTATCTTCCCTCTTCTCTCTCTCTATCTCTTGCTCCTCCATTTTCTCTCTTTATCTTCCCTCTTCTCTCTATCCCTCTTCCTTCATTTTCATCTTTTTTTTTTTGTGTTTTTTCGAAAGAAACTGTTTGGAACCGTTACGTAACGGTGTGTATCAGGCCGTTACGGCGCCGTTACGGCACCGTTACGACCCCCTCATCACTGACCTGTCTATGTGGGTCTTCTTGTTGGGGGGTTCCTCCATAATTTCTGCTGTCGAAGTCACAGCAATAGTGCTGTTTTCAAACGTCGAGTCTGATTCTTCATTCTTCTCAACTGAGTCTGCTTTGGAATCTTCTTCTGGGTCCTCGCCGACCGGTATGAGGTCATCGATCACGTTCCAATCGATCACGCTCACTGAGAAGGGAAAGAATAGCAATAGCCGATCGCGAACGGCGTCGGAAGGGTTCCGCCGTTTTCCGAATCGCAAATGCAAAAGCGAACCAAACAAAAACCGGCGAACGGCGTCGGATTGCGCGTTCCGCCGTGCTTGTTTTTCTTCATAAATTTTGTCTTTTCGAGTTATTTTTTTTGTTTTTTTTAGATGGTAATTTTATTTGTTATTATTGTTCTGTGAGTTGTAATTTAAGACCGTGCTTGTTTTTCTTTATAAATTTTGTCATTTCTAAATTGTTTAATCCATCATTATTTTACTTGTCTCGCGTTGCCCAGGCTAATTATATGTTTGTTGGGGTTTGTTTGGTTTTATTTTTGATTTATTTTCATCTTTAAGTTATTTTCGTTTTAATTTTTTTTATAAAAAATCAGCCTTTTAAAGACATCAACAAATTAAATAATTATTAAAAAAAACAATATAAATAAAAATAATGAATTTTTTTTTTGCTTATTTTGACTTTTAAAATTTTCTTATATAACTTTTCAAAAATAAAAAAAATAAAATTTTTGAATTCGTTTACTTGAGGTGAATAGAAATTTTTTTTTTTTTTTGACATACTTCTAAATAAAAAATTACTAAAGATAATATGACTTTTTTTTATGTGATTCCAAACACTTTATAAAGGGGGAGGTGATTTTTTTTTTTTTTTACAATTTTTTTTAACTAAAATATGAGATAAAAAATAATATATTTAAAATATTTTTTTAATTTTTTACACAAAAAAAAAAATACAAGAGGTAGAGTAAATGGAAATATATATATTTTTTGTACGGGTTGAAATTGTTTTGACTTTTTGATTTTTTTTGATTTTTTTTTTTGTTGATAAATGAGGCCTAAGTGTGCGTTTGGAAATTTGATTTTTTTAGTGATATTTTAATTATCTAATTTTTTAATGAGATGAAAAGAATTAATTTACTTAAAATGTTTATCTAGTTTAATAAATAGTTTTGTGAAATAAAATGATTGATTGATACTATATAACATTTTATCTTTTTTTGATCGTATTACATTTTTAATTTTCTGCACATTGTTTTATAAAAAAATAAAAAAAATTACACTTATTTAGATCATCCTAAATAACTTGTAATCATATCTTTGCAAGTTTTCTACAAAAGGCAAGTAGATTTTTGAATTTATTTCCCACACAAAGCATGCAGGACATATTTTACTAAATGAAAATTACTGCAAATAAAAAATTCATAAGAATGGTGTGATAGAAATATTTTAAAAATTGTAAGTCCTTTTAATGAATCTTTTGATTTGAAATAAATAAAAGCACTTTCATCACCATATTTTGTACAATATTTTTGTATTTTTTTTTTTTATTTATAAGAAAAATTGTCTTTTTAAGAACAATAATTGTCGAAATTCCAAACTTCCAACCTATATATATAAGGAAAATGTTCTTTTTAAAAACAATGATTGTGAAAACTCCAAACTTCCAATCTATATATATAAGGAAAATGGTCTTTTTAAGAGCAATGATTGTAGAATTTCCAAACTTCCAAACTAATTTTGTTAATTTATTAATTTTTAAAGAAATAAAAAAAAAATCTATTGGTTAATTCCTTAAGTAAAAAATCCAAAAAAAAAAAGAAGATCTAATTGCAATTTTGAATTTTAAAATTCAAAACAATATGATAAGTCATACTTACTCTTTTCCAAAAACAATGTTAATCAAAACAATTCAAAAAAAATAAAAATAAAATAAAAACGCTAATTATCTATGATTTTGAATTTCAAACTTCAAAATAATACGGTAAGCCACCTTAATCTCACTCTCACCTTTTTCCGAAAATAATATAAATTTAGAATTTTAAAAACCTAATCAAATTAAAAATTCAATACAATTATCTCTTTAAAATACTCATTATTTGATCTTTTTTCCAACTCAGCCAATTCCTCCCCAAATGTAATGATGCAATGGTTATTTTCTCTCTTTGTCAATAGTCCAAACTTATTTCAAATTAGTTTGTTTGTTTGTGATTTTTTTTTTTTTGGTAAATTTATATTTTCGTGTGAGCATTTTTTTTTCTCTATATGACTTTTTTTTCCAATGTATTTTTAGTTCCAACTAATTGAAAATAAATATATATCTGTTAACTATCTTTGTTTTGAGAGTTAATTTGAAGGTTTTTTTTTTGGGTGGATGTTTGTATATTTTTTATATTGTTGTTATTATTTCTTTTGATATATATGAATTGATAATATAGTTATGAGTTTTTTTTTATTATTTATTTATTTATAGAATAATGTGTTTTATATTGTTCCTTAAACAAAATTTTCAAATTTTTTATTTATAAAAAATTAAAAACATTTAATTGACTAAATGAATATCTCTGCAACAAAACAAAACTAACACTACAAGAAAACCTGGCTAATAACACGGAGGTTTTTGCGATGGGGTGATTACCGTCGCAAAAAATCCTTTTTTGCGACGGGAAATAGTTACCGTCTCCAAAAAAAGAATTTTTTGCGACGATATATATTTGCCGTCGCCAAAAGACGACTTTGCGACGGCGTGTATCTACCGTCGAGAAAGATGGCCTTTTGCGACGGTGAGTATTCCGTCGCTAAAGGTTGAAAAAAGAAATTTGCAGAAATATTGGCGACGCACGGTATACCGTCGCAAAAAACGTCTTATTAGTGACGGTTAAATTTTACTGTCGCAAAAGGGGGACCATTTGCGACGGCAGAAGACCATCGCAAAAAAACTCTGGTAAAACGACGTCGTTTCATATATTAATTACGCTCATTTGCGACGGTCAAAATATACAGTCGCAAATAAATAAAATTTGGTTCCCGCTGTTCTATCCCATTTCGCGGTCCAATTCCTAAATTCCTCATATCTCCAAAATCCCTAAAATCGAAATCCCTCAATTCCATCTCCTAAATTCCTAAATTCCATCTCCTGTGACCGACTGCGGTGACTGACGAGGGTGAGTGACGGCCTTCGACGGTGAGCGACTGTGAACGACGACCTACGACCGACTGTGAGCGACTGTGAAAGAGGCCATTTTTGAGGTTGTTCCTTCTCTCATAAAGCTTGAATCCTTGTTTTTTTTGACCTGTGCTTTTGATTGGTGGGATGTAGGATTTGGAGGGCGGCGGATCTGCCGCGGAGGACGGTGGTTTGGAGGCTTGCTTGGAATCTAAACCATTGGTGAATGACGAAGTTCATGAACGATCTTTACCCAGCTCCTTTTTATTCAATAATTTGTGGTAGCTACCTAATTTTAGCAAGATTATGATTTTAAAATTAAAATCTTCATTTACTTTGCGGAATGATGAAACTCTCTCTACTTGTGCACAACTATCCCAGGTGTTCTGATTTAAATCTTGCAGATCACTGTTGATTCTGTGCGTGATCCAAATGTGGGTGTAGTTTTTGAACCCAAATCATTAATACAAGCCCTCGGTGACTTGCTAAGTGGATACACAAGCACAAATGCTATACGGGTTTAGTGAATCTTTGACCAAACAAATGACAAGCAAGGTGAAGCGAACGAATATACATCTGATTGAAATATTGGCTTTAACAGGTCATCTTTTTCTGAGGTACAAGTTTTAACATCAATCTTCAATTGCACTGGTATAGATCTTATTCTGTTTTATACTAAAATTTGAATATATTATTTGATACTAAGGTAGATTTGTCTCCCTCCGTTTTGAGGATGAAACCAATTCATAACCTTTTTTTTTTTTGCCCGAACTACATTTTCTCGAGGAAGTATTGGAGGGGGGGATTTCTCTTGCATTGTTGTATGCTGTGAGAAATTTATTATAGGTATTTATTTGTTCGTTGAGATGTTTATACCTTCAAACCAGGTGTTGTTGCCATTCTTGAGGATGCAGAATGGGAAAAACATGATTTGTATAGGAAGTTCATAGTCATGTAAACCTTGTATGCTATGTATTTTGACTACACTGTTTATAAGCTTGTGCTTGGAAATTTCTCTTCTTTTAAAGTATTTTTAAAAATAGGTAAAATCTCAAGAATGATTTAGCTCCTTATGTATCTGGTTCTCTTTAACCCTTACTAGTTCTCACTTAGCCCAATTCTATAACTGTTCTTTGACTGCATGAGGTGCCAGAGGGCCTGCATTTTAGGGCAACTGGATATTTGTTTGATGACTGCACTTTCTTGAGCCTCCTCATTTTTGTCCGATACGTCTTCATAGCCTCTAATCCTTTGCAATAAGACTGGTGTCTTGTCTTCGAATATGTAAAGCCAAACCTCACAGCGAGTGGTGAAAATTGTGTCGTGATAGTCGTATTTGTGTCGTGTCATTTCAGATAATCAAACCTTCAACGTGTTTGTTTTTTTTTGTATTCTTGTCGTGTCATGTCATTTTTGAGGCTGTTCCTTCTCGCCAAAAGATAGAATTCACCTCACATTTCTATGATCAGTTTCTGTATTCCTAGAAATATAATCTAAAGAACATTATTATATAAATGGAGACATATATATATATATATACCTTTCCAATGGCTTCAAAGAGAGTGACATTGAAAGAAGCCGCAGTGAGAATAACCTGAGGAAAGCTAGTAGCTCCAGGGACTAATTCAGAGAACCTTGTCCCACCATGCCAGCCTGGTGCTACACCATGTAAACCCTCAGACCACCACTTGTACTCTAGAATTCCAAGCCTACTCACACTCCCTCCAATGTCCCCCAAGGACCCAATTTTCTCCTACAATGTCATCCTCTTCACCAAGTCCTCAACCCTCTTCTTCACCCCCAACGACCGATCACAGAATCTACTCTCTACTGTCTATGTATTCTATCACTATAATTGATTGTTATGCAAGTCCGTGAAAAAGATTTGATTTTGCATTTGGTGAGATTTTTGTTAAAAGTAAAAAAGATGTTTTATAGAGGATATCACAGCATCCGTGCATCTTGATACCGGAATAATCGATGGACGACTAAATTAGTTTGGTGAATTGATTATTATTATCGGTCCATATCTTCTTTTTAATATTTCCAAATTGAATTAATAACTAGTAGTTTATTTTTAATTAAGTGGTATGCTTTTGGCCTTTAGTTTGCTTCCTCTGTTGTAAATGGTATCACATCATATATATATTTGAATAAAAATTATGCCAAGGAATAGGGGAGGCGTGCCATGTGTCCTATGCATTTTTTGCTCTGTTAGACACCTAGACAGAAATGGACAGAGTGTCGACATATATATAGTTTATAAAGTGCAGGGTTTTAGTTGAGAAAAATTAAAAATTAAAAGTTTAATTTGTGATTAGACAAAGCCATGGGTTATTTGTGTAATTTCTCCATCAAATATTTATTTTGTGTTTTGTTTGGTTCTTGGATTTGTAAAAGGGAAGAAAAAGAACATGGAGAAGATACGAAAATTAAAATGAAGTGAGCGATCTAAACATATCTGAAGACGAAGTGCCAGTCATATTTGTTTCCATCATATTTGTTATGTATTAATCTTTGTCTGGCCAGTAAAGGTGCCATGAGAATGATGCACTTCTTTAGTAGTGTTTACGAGATTGCTAAATCCACAATCGTTATGGCTGCATCCAGATTCCACAGCCTCCTTTCTCATGTCGGGTCCACCTATGTGAGAGGGAACAATGTGGGTAAAGCCTAAAAGTTATGATTTTAGCAGTGGCATTGTTTTGTATTTTATCTGTTTGCATCTTGTCTTATCATATGACCAGATCAAAGTCTGGAGGTTAGAAGTATAAATTCATTGCCAACAATACATATAAATGAACAAATAGCACCACAGGAGGTTAGAAGTATGCAGAATCAGCTACTGTTTTCGTCTGATTCTGGTGGAAGAATGCTTTTAAAATCATATCCCAAGACAATTGCTTGTGAGGAGTCAATGGGGTTATATGCAAGTAAGGATTTTCTTATGTCGCAACAAACCTGTCATAAGTACAGATGATGGATAAGAGTTGGATTGATTTGCCAAATAGGATGTCGACGGAATACATTAATGGGATTGATCAATTCCTTGTGTTTACCTACACCAATAGGGTTGAAGGTTTGATGATTAGTTGTCTGTGTAGAAAATATGAGAATCGATACCATCTTATGCGAGAGGGTGTACGGAAGCATCTGATTTTGAATGGTTTTTTTAAAAAGTACAAACATTGGATTAATCATGGGGAATCTTACGTATCTCTGCATGCTAATCGAGGGAATGAAACATTGGCTAATTTAGACATTGGCGACGATATGGTTGGAATGATACAAGGGACTGTGGGAAATCCAGATGCTGGTACAAGTGTTGACAGTAATGAAGCACAGAGCACTGATCCCCATGCATCTGAACCCCAGCTCGGTCCAAATGCAGAGACTGCAAACTATTTCAAACTTCTTCAAGATGCACAAAGTGAATTGTATCCGGGTTGTCAGAAGTTCACATCTTTTTCATTCATTGTTCGGCTTCTACATTTGAAGGTGCTTAATCAGTAGACAGACAAGTCTGTTGACATGTTGCTTGAGTTATTGAATGAGGCGTTTCCGTTGGGTGTGAAACTCCCGGACTCATATTATAAAGCTCAAAAGGTCACAACAGATTTGGGCTTCACGTATGAGACGTGGGATGCATGTCCCAACAGTTGCATGTTGTTTCGAAACGAGGACGCCAATCTTGATAAATGTGTCATATGCAACAGCTGTAGATGGAAATCAAATGGTGATGGTGGTTCAAATAGTCCTAACAAAGGTGGCAAACGAATAGCTGCAAAACAGATGAGGTATTTTCCTTTAAAGCCAAGGTTGCAGAGGCTGTTTATGTCATCCAAGACGGCTAAGTTAATGAGATGGCATGCAGAGGAACGAACTAATGACGGTGTCTTTAGGCATCCTGCAGACTCCCTTGCATGGAAAGATTTTGATCGTCGGAATATTGACTTTAGTAATGATTGCCGAAATGTAAGGCTTGGCTTAGCATCTGATGGTTTTAACCCATTCAGGACGATGAACATAGTTCATAGCACTTGGCCTGTTGTACTCATTCCATACAACTTGCCGCCATGGATGTGCATGAAGCAACCATTTCTAATTTTAGCCATGCTTATTGACGGCCCAAAAGGACCTGGTGACAAGATTGATGTGTACATGCAACCGTTGATTGAGGAGTTGAAAGAACTACGGAATGAGGGTGTGTCAACATTTGATGCATCAACAAATCAAATGTTTCAAATACATGCAGCTTTACTGTGGACAATTAGTGATTTTCCTGCATACGCAAACTTGTCAGGATGAAGCACTAAAGGAGAATATGCATGTCCTTATTGCAATAAGCAAACTACATCGTGTTGGTTGAAGCATAGTAGGAAACAATCATACTTGGGTCATTGCAGGATTTTTACCTAATGGCCATAAATTCCAAAGGATAAAGTATCATTTGATGGTAGTCGGGAAGTCAGATTCAAACCAAAATTGTTGTCTGGAACTGAGATGCTGCTACAATTAGAATCTGAGGGTATTTTAACCCAATACAAGAGGGATGACCTTAAGGAGAGGCATAAGGAGACAAGTAGAGAAGGAGAAAGTTGGACATCGCACCCATAGCTGGAAGAAAAAAGAGTATCTTCTATGAACTGCCATATTGGGAGCACAATCTAATTAGACACAACCTTGATGTGATGCATATAGAGAAGAATGTTTGTGATAATGTGTTGTGGACAATATTAGGGTTGCAGGAAAATCGAAGGATGGTGTTAATGCTCGGCGTGATTTACAAGAACATGAATATTTAGAAACCCCTATATTTGCCAATTAAGGGGCTCGAATTTAAAGCTTATTTACCACCGGCAAATTCACGATGATCAAGGATGAGAAAGATTTGTTCTTGAAAGTATTGAAGGAAGTTAGAGTTCCCGACGGGTATTCATCCAATATATCGCGTCGTGTGCGCTTACATGATAGAAGTATTGGGGGTCTTAGAAGCCACGATAGTCATATTCTGATGCAACAACTAATTCCATTGGCCATTCGAAGATCGTTACCGAAGAATGTAATTGAACCTTTGATTGAATTGAGCAATTTTTTTAGACAATTGTGTTCCAAAGTCAATCGTGCGACAGATTTGCAATATATTCAAGATCGTATCGTCGTAACACTTTGTCATCTAGAGAAAATATTTCCTCCTACTTTTTTTGATATAATGGAGCACTTGCCTATACATCTAGTTGACGAAGCATTATTGGGTGGAGCGATTCAGTTTCGATGGATGTATCCAATTGAGAGGTATCTTCTTACTTTGAAGCAATATGTGCGTAATAGAGCTCGTCCAGAAGGTTCAATTGCTAAAGGATATCTTATGGAAGAATGCATGAATTTTTGTGCACAATATCTCAATGATGTGGAAACTAAATCTAATCGACCCACGAGGAACTACAGTGGTGATGATAATCTGGGTCGTGCTGTTGGTGAAATCACAAGCTTTTATCTTGATAACGTTTCTTGGGTACAAACTCATCGGTATGTCTTATTCAATACAGCCGTGGTTCAACCATTCATAAAGTAAGTTATGTCACTCATTCAATATTTTATTATGTTTCATTGAATTTTGAACCAAATTTTGTTTTTTGATAAAATTTCAATTTACATAGCAAACACCTTGAAGAACTTAAGGTCAAAATGCCTCGTGTTGACGATCATCAGCTTCGGCGTGAACATTTTGAAACTTTTCACATTTGGTTCAAGGAACATGTATGTATTTAAATGTACAGATTCTAATTACCTAAGTCGAACTATATTTTAAAATTTTTAATTTTTATTATTTAAAATAGGTTCAAACGTTGCGAAGGACTAGTGATGTCACATTTTCTGAAGAGATTACTGTATTGGCAAATGGTCCTCATAACCTGGCAAGGAGGTTCAACGGGTATATAATGAATGGGTTTCGGTATCGAGTAAAGGCCATGGATGACCGTCGAGCCACACAAAATTGTGGTGTAGCTTTGAAATTGTTTAATTGTTTTGACTTTTTGATTTTTGATTTTTTATTTTTTTGATAAATGAGGCCTAAGTGTGCGTTTGGAAATTTGATTTTTTTAGTGATATTTTAATTATCTAATTTTTTTATGAGATGAAAAGAATTAATTTACTTAAAATGTTTATCTAGTTTAATAAATAGTTTTGTCAAAAAAAATGATTGATTGATACTATATAACATTTTATCTTTTTTGGATCGTATTACCTTTTTAATTTTCTGCACATTGTTTTATAAAAAAATAGAAAAAATTACACTTATTTAGATCATCCTAAATAACTTGTAATCATATCTTTGCAAGTTTTCTACAAAAGGTATGTTGATTTTTGAATTTATTTCCCACACAAAGCATGGAGAACATATTTTACAAAATGAAAATTGCTGGAAATAAAAAATTCATAAGAATGGTGTGATAGAAATATTTTAAAAATTGTAAGTCCTTTTAATGAATCTTTTGATTTAAAATAAATAAAAGCACTTTCATCACCATATTTTGTACAATATTTTTGTATAATTTTTTTTTGTTTATAAGAAAAATAGTCTTTTTAAGAACAATGATTGTCGAAATTCCAAACTTCCAATCTATATATATAAGGAAAATGTTCTTTTTAAAAACAATGATTGTGAAAACTCCAAACTTCCAATCTATATATATAAGGAAAATGTTCTTTTTAAAAACAATGATTGTGAAAACTCCAAACTTCCAATCTATATATATAAGGAAAATGTTCTTTTTAAAAACAATGATTGTGAAAACTCCAAACTTCCAATCTATATATATAAGGAAAATGTTCTTTTTAAAAACAATGATTGTGAAAACTCCAAACTTCCAATCTATATATATAAGGAAAATGTTCTTTTTAAAAACAATGATTGTGAAAACTCCAAACTTCCAATCTATATATATAAGGAAAATGTTCTTTTTAAAAACAATGATTGTGAAAACTCCAAACTTCCAATCTATATATATAAGGAAAATGTTCTTTTTAAAAACAATGATTGTGAAAACTCCAAACTTCCAATCTATATATATAAGGAAAATGTTCTTTTTAAAAACAATGATTGTGAAAACTCCAAACTTCCAATCTATATATATAAGGAAAATGTTCTTTTTAAAAACAATGATTGTGAAAACTCCAAACTTCCAATCTATATATATAAGGAAAATGTTCTTTTTAAAAACAATGATTGTGAAAACTCCAAACTTCCAATCTATATATATAAGGAAAATGTTCTTTTTAAAAACAATGATTGTGAAAACTCCAAACTTCCAATCTATATATATAAGGAAAATGTTCTTTTTAAAAACAATGATTGTGAAAACTCCAAACTTCCAATCTATATATATAAGGAAAATGTTCTTTTTAAAAACAATGATTGTGAAAACTCCAAACTTCCAATCTATATATATAAGGAAAATGTTCTTTTTAAAAACAATGATTGTGAAAACTCCAAACTTCCAATCTATATATATAAGGAAAATGTTCTTTTTAAAAACAATGATTGTGAAAACTCCAAACTTCCAATCTATATATATAAGGAAAATGGTCTTTTTAAGAGCAATGATTGTAGAATTTCCAAACTTCCAAACTAATTTTGTTAATTTATTAATTTTTAAAGAAATAAAAAAATCTATTGGTTAATTCCTTAAGTAAAAAATCCAAAAAAAAAAAGAAAAAGAAAAAAGAGATCGAATTGCAATTTTGAATTTTAAAATTCAAAACAATATGATAAGTCATACTTACTCTTTTCCAAAAACAATGTTAATCAAAACAATTCAAAAAAAATAAAAATAAAATAAAAACGCTAATTATCTATGATTTTGAATTTCAAACTTCAAAATAATACGGTAAGCCACCTTAATCTCACTCTCACCTTTTTCCGAAAATAATATAAATTTAGAATTTTAAAAACCTAATCAAATTAAAAATTCAATACAATTATCTCTTTAAAATACTCATTATTTGATCTTTTTTCCAGCCCAGCCAATTTCTCCCCAAATGTAATGATGCAATGGTTATTTTCTCTCTTTGCCAATAGTCCAAACTTATTTCAAGTTTGTTTGTTTGTGATTTTTTTTTTTTTTGGTAAATTTATATTTTCGTGTGAGTATTTTTTTTTCTCTATATGACTTTTTTTTCCCAATGTATTTTTAGTTCCAACTAATTGAAAATAAATATATATCTGCTAACTATCTTTGTTTTGAGAGTTAATTTGAAGGTTTTTTTTTTGTGGATGTTTGTGTATTTTTTATATTGTTGTTATTATTTCTTTTGATATATATGAATTGATAATATAGTTATGAGTTTTTTTTTATTATTTATTTATTTATAGAATAATGTGTTTTATATTATTCCTTATGATTTGACCATTTTAAAATTTTCTTAAACAAAATTTTCAAATTTTTTATTTATAAAAAATTAAAAACATTTAATTGACTAAATGAATATCTCTGCAACAAAACTAAACTAATCAACACTGGAGGAACACCTACAGTTCCGGAACTGGAAAACAAAAATCGTTTTAATTTTCTATCCTTGTGTTCAGTTGTTGCAGGAGAAGATAGGTCCTATCATAACTGTTTTCTTGAAGTAAACACTTCCTCTCAAATACTTTACTTGAAAAAAAAATAAAAAATACATAATCACCATAGCAAGAAAGTAAATTATTTTTAGGATAAAGCTTGGGAGCTCGAATGAGCTCCCCCCGAATCCCCCGAAAATGGAAACAGAGGGAAACATAGGGAAAAGAGGGTGAAGGCGAGAGAGAGAGAGAGAGAGAGAGAGAGAGGAGAGGAGAGAGGGAAATAGAGAGAGAGAGAGAGAGAGAAGGAGAGAAGCTCGGCCGATCGTCACAGCAGCTCACCGATCGTCGCAGTAGCTCGGCCTCCGCCGCGCCTTCGCCCCGCCTTCGTCCCTGGTTTATACCCCCTCCTGTCCACTTCTCCCTTCTCCCGTCCCTTCTTTTTCTTCTCCCTTCTCTTCTTCATCATCTTCTTCTTCTTCCTTCTTCTTCTTCGTTTCTGATTCAACCCAAAAAAAAAAAAACAAATGGAAAAATGACGTCATTTTTTAAATTAGGGGGATTCGGGGGGGTTTATTTCAAGCTACGTAGCATTACTCTTATTTTTATTATCTACACCGTACACCTCAGTTTCAGAGGGCAGGTAACATTTTCCAAATTTCACAAATAATCTGTTTGGGGCAGCTTCGTGGATGGATAGTATGATTTTGAACGTAATCTGTATATATATATACAGATTATACTTAGATATACTTAACTGGGGCTTCAAACTTTTAAGATTCAGGCTTGATTTTGCCATCTATTATTATGGTTCTTCTTGGTGCTGATGTTGGTTGCTTCCGATAAACATAACTGGTCGATTTAAGGTACTTTTCTTCATTTTTGTGGCGATTTATTGTTATACCATGGGTGGGAGTTACAGAGATCCTCCATTGTCTTCTATTTATTGTATATAGTTGTTCCTTGTCTTTTTATGATATATCAGTACAAATAGCCACTACATTTAATTTTCAATAATATGCACACAACAAGTAAATTTTTTATTCAGGCATTGCATTAAACAGTTAGAGGGCGAAAGATATAACAGGAAAAACAAATTCATGGGAAAGAACAAATGTATGAAAAGTACCAATCAACAACGACAAATCCAATTCAATATGACGACAAACCAAACTCAGACACGGAGAGCCAAGAGAATTCTCAATCAAGCAACAATAGGATAATGGAATTAAGAATTGAATTGCACAAAATATTTACAAAAATAATGGGCAAAAAAAGGAAAGCAGTGGAAAAAAAGAGGCTAGGGGTAGGCACCAGTAATGGTAAACCCCATCCATATGCAAATGAAAACCAATTTCTTGTATTTGTCTACCCAATAAACAACAGTAAGGGTTCAGTCATAAAAAAATAGCCCCAAAATCAAGCAAACAAATTGATTATTACCAAACCCATAAAACCCTAGAAATCAAACCACTTAAACCAAACCCATTTCAGAAATCAACGCGAAATTAGACTTGGTAAATCATGTAAAACCCTAGAGCAAAAGCGAGAAATGGGAAAATAGAGAAAGTGAGAGGGAGAGAGGAGAAAGATAAAGAACCTGTTCATATTGCGACGGTGGGGGTGGTGATTTGCGACAGTGGCAATGTGCGACAGTCAGCAACGGTGGTGAAGGACTTCGGTGAAGTGAGAAGATGAGAGGTTTTTTGTGTGAGAGAGAGATAGAGGAAATGGATATAAATATATGGGCGCCTAAATCTAGGCGCGTACTTGTTCAAAAAATAAATAAATCTGGGCATGTAAGATATTTTCCCACATTTTAGCGACTAAAGTGTTTTTCAGTCTTCATAAGTTCACTATTTGGCGACTAATTATTCTTTTGTTGAAAAAAAATGAGTATACTGCGACTAAATATTTTTTAGTAGCCAAAACTGTATATTTGCCGACCAAATTCTTAGTCGCCAAAAAGTAACAGTGCAAATGTGGCTATTATTTAACGACTAAATTTATTTTAGCCAGCAAAAAGTAGTATACTAGAATAAAACTTAGTAGTTGAAAAAATAGAGTAATGGCGACCAATAATTTTTTAAGTCGCCTATTGTGGAAAATTTACCGACCAATGTTCTTTTTAGTCGCCAATAAATAATATATGTCGACTAAAATAATTTAGTAGCAAAAACCAAAACCAACGGCAACCAAAATAATTTTTAGTCACCAAAAATTAACCTTTTGGCGACCAAATCCCTTTTAGTCACCAAATTTGACCGCCAAAAGTGTAAATTGTTGTAATGGGGATAAAATTGTCAGTATAAAATATGACAATCTAATTTTAGTGTCGTAATTGTCACAATCACAAAATGCAAGTACATTTAACTAATTATGATTAAAGAATTGACTTGATAGATTAAATATTTTCTTACCATGGGGATGTTTAGATTCAAGTTTTATTGTTACAAATAAAAATATATATATATATATATATTTTTTTTCAATCTTATT